CTGTTTTTCTTTTTTTTTTCTTTTTTTTTCTTTTTTTTTTTTTTTCGGTAATTTTGATTGCCAAGCACTGAAATTGGGACGTGACCGAAATTTGGACGTACCCCCGACGGTGCGAGCTCTACCCTTCAGGTCTGTGATCCAATATTAGTGAATAACGTTGTATAAATCAGTCCTTCCTTAGTTATTATTAGCATGCCTCGACTGCGTTTAGTTACGGCGTGGAAGAACTGCAGTATTCTGCAAAACGAGTAACGTAAATAAATAAATCCGGAAGCCCTGTCCCAGATATGCCCTTGGAGAGCCCTCCAGCGGTGCCCGAGCTCCTGCTGCTCGTGTGTTGCCAGCACCTGCGTGGAGAGTCGGAGCTTGTGGTTTTAGCACCTCTGCAGAAATCATGATCCCATTGCAGAGCACTGCACGAGAGGAGATGCTGCATGGCCAGGGGCCTCGCAGACCTGCGGGGACTTGCGCTGCCCTTTCTCCTCGTTGCTAATTAGGAGCTGCAGAAACAGTTTTGGTTTTCTCGCCTCTCTGACCGCAGGGCCGGAAGCGAGTCCTCCTGTCGAAGCACGTCTAAATCAGTCTCGAAATAAGGCGCCTCCCCCTGAGGCCACCCGCTTGGGAGAGACTGTAAGGGGGAAAAAATCTGTGTCATTTCTGTTTCTCGGGTCTTGAGAAAATTTTTCTGAGTCCTGAGAAAGCCCTGCAGAGAGAGACAGCATCTTGAATCTGCCATTTAAGCCGCTCTCGAACCTCTATAAAAACGAGCTCTGCTCCTTATGCTTATCAAGGGCACTCGTCCTCGCTGCTGGTGGTGCAAACTGGGCTGCGGTGGGAGGACTGGGACCTCCAGGGATGTTGTTATCCTCAGTGCTGGGCTCCGAGGAGGGCCCTTGCTGGAATACTGCGAATGTCCCCAGTTCAAGAGGGACACTGAGAAGCTGGAGAGGGGCCGACGACTTGGACTAATCAGACCTTAGGTCTCGGGAGTCTGTTCCCGTTGCCTGGCCTCCCGTTCTGACCCGTCTTCTCTTTGAAGTTCATGGAGAAGAGGGGAAAGGAAATGAGAGCAGAGGCCCTGCTTTTCCCGCAAAATGCCTCATTCCTTATAAAATCATTTGGCAGAAATCTCTTTCAGCTGGAGGAGCTGGATGCCTCACAACGCGCCTGCAGCCATTTCTCCTCCTGTCCAGCTCCTCCGCCTGCTCAGCCCCTCTGCACCAATAAAGCCAGAGAAGTGCAGATGGAAGCATCCCCTGGAGAGGTAATTCCCCAAAAGTGTGTTCTGAGAGGCAAACCAAACGTCCTGGTACATGCTTTGCTGTCCTGCAGCGTGGGCTGTGCCACGGCGACCCTTGGAGCAGCGCGAGCTTGGTGTGTACGTGCTAGATTGGGCTGTTGGTTTCATGGCAGCTGCTTAAAACAGGCTCTGCGCCCCTTTCATAACGATGGTGCTGAGCGAGCAGAGGCAGCTGCTGTGCATGGAAGGAAACAGAGCAGAGCGAGAAGGATGGAGCTGAAGGGCACGTGGTGATCTTCATCCTGAGGATCCCGGTGTCCAGCAGAGCAGAGACCTCCCCCGTGCAGATCTCTCTGCATCGACTGCCCTCATCGATGGGCTGTTGGATGCAGAGGGTGGGATGGTGGTAGGGGCTGGGCGAGACAGAAAGGAAAACACGAGCGCGGTCACAGATTTCCTGCGCCTCGAGCTGGCTGCAGCCACCTGCAGTGCTGGGCCCGGGGGGTTTCACATCCCCTTTGGGGCCAAACCTACCCCGCTGCTGTGCGGTCGAGGCCGAGTCTTGCCCCAAAGCCCCCTCCACAAGCGCATGTTCTCGTTGAGGAATGCAACAGAGCACCCCACGCTTGCAGCGGAGGAGGCCACCTGAAACAGTGTGACATGATGTTTGGGCTGTGTCGTCTTCTTATGCAGGTGCTTGGGCCAAGAGGCCACGTTACAGCTTCGTTTCTGAAGCTGGACCTTGCGGCCAGTTACCGTAACTTTAATACATGGCTTTAAGTCGGAATTGCCTCGAGGTTATAAGTGGAGTTAGAAACTAGAATTTGGGGCGAAGGGCTTTTCTTTGGAAACGTGCGCCTTTCACTTCTGCAGACCGCAGGCAGGACGAAACCCCGAGGACTATGAGAAAAGCAACTTCTGTATAACTGGGAACTAATCATGAATAATGACCCTCTCTGGTGACGTTAAACAGAATTAATTCTATTTAACTTGCAGGCTGTGTTGTATTTCTAGGTTGTAATCTTGGGCCGGACTCTGGGGTACTTTTACATGAGGCAAGATTTGATAACATGAAAGGTAACCAGAAAAAAAAAAAAAAGTGTTATAAAGCAGTGCTGTTGACTTGGCAGGTGGCAGCCTTTCCTCAGAATTAGCACCGCTAGTCCCTCCCTGGGGATCTTATCACCAAAGCAGCTGTAGCCTGTTCCCTGCCATCCTGAGGAGGAGGAGTCCTCTCCTCGGGCAGTTTCTCCCTGATATTCCAAGTAACAGCTATTTCCTTGCCTTGGGAGATGTCTGACCTGGTTTCCGTTCCTCCGGCTTGTGTCCCCTCCCGGGATGTCACTCGGAGGGCGCCGGCGCTGCTGTCCCTTTGGACGAGCTACATCCCCCCGGAGAAGGGGGAGAGGAGCAAGGACCAAAGACACTTGGCTGTCTCTGAGCGATCTGCTGTGTCTGCACAAGACTCCCAGGCCCAGCCAGGAACATCACAACTGTCTGCGTGGATCAGCTTTCACCCGTACCCTGGAAGAGAGGGGTGTTTTGCCAAAACTTGCACTTGAGCAGTATTTTGTTTTGTTTGTTGTGACATAAGAAGCTCTAGGCATTACTTGTTGACTTAACCGGAGAATTATATGTCACAGACCTTGTTTTGCTCTTACTCTGCTGCCCACAGCCCTGCTGCTCTCTCCATCCTTGTGCCTGCACCTCCAAGACCACCATCTGCCTTTTTTTGCTCTTGTAACAACTGACACTACCAGGACACATTTGTAGTTCTGGGCGGATGTTGGGTCCTCCCCTCGCCTCCCCTTTGCCACCAGTCCTGTTTGTACTTCTCCCATGACAAGTATTAATTGAGATTCCCTATCATGAAGGACAGTTTTCCTGTCCTAAGGTTGCTTAGGAGCCTTATCTAGCTTTAAATTTATCCTTGCTTTGAGCAGAGGTTTGAACCAGACATCTCCAGAGATCCTTTCCCAGCTTTTCATTTTTCCTTTTCCTGTGATTCCGTGGTTGTTTTAGGTTTGCTCTGCTTTTGTTCCTTTTTTTCCTCTAGAAGGGAGATTTGCCATAACTCAGGTGCTGTCGCAATGGTACAGCGGGATCATGCAGCCAGGAAGGCAGCCGAGGTTGAGGAGGAACCTCCACAGCTTTCCCCAGTCCCGCTGGGGAGCTGCGTTTCAGCCTGGCCTTTCCTGCCCATTGAGATATGCTGTCGTGAGCCTGTGCCAACCACTCTGCTCGCTGCTCCAGGCATTCATCCTGCAGATACCTTGGGGTTGAGGATACCATGGGGTTCAGGACAACCATGGGGTTAAAGGCCAAGACTAAGCTACTTGCATCCAGTGCTGATACTTCTCAGTTGTAGGCTGTCTTTGGACGCACAAGAGCAAATCCTGGGAAAACGATTATGGTAACCATTTTGCAAACAAATTTGTTGGTTTTCATAACTCCCCAACAGTGTCGCATCTCGGAACAAACCCAAAGCTGCTGAGGGAAGTGCTGGGCCGAGCAGCTTCCTTGCTGGACGGCACTTGGTGGTGACTGTAGACGTGAACTTGAGCAGGGACAAGGAGTCCTTCTCAGGGCACACTGCCTTTGGGGCTGGATGAGGAGGACAAGGCCAGCCTCATGGAGGGGTGTTGGGACCCTGCTCACCAGCAAGGTGAGGTGCAGCAGGGTTATGGAGCGGTCCTCATCCTCAGCGCGTTTCCTCTCGCTAATTTCACCACAGTGGTTGCCGGCGTTTTAAGGCCTGTGCCATGTAATATCAGCCGAGACGGAGGAACGAGAAACATGGGAGCAGCCTCCACCCTGAGCTGCTGGTGCTGGGGCAGCCTGATAAATATTAGCAGAAGTCAGTTATTTCCTGCAAAGGAGGGTTGTTACTGCTCTGCCCTTATTTTGTATCGTAGTCCTAGCAATGCTGTAGCTCTGACAGCAGGGGTTAGAAATCAGATTTGTTAAAACATTGCAATGTCATTATGTCTAGTACTTTTTCAGAGTTTCCTGGATGTTACTTGAAACAGGATAATCACTTACTCATGTGCAACAAAAGACCACATGGAAGCTGCTCACAAAAGAAGCCTCAGCTCTTGTAAACAAATGAGCTCCTCTCTGTTTTAATTTTCCAACCAAAATTCCATGAACAAATTAATTAAACATCTCCCTTTGTTCTGGCTTTCGTGTTTGCTCTTGGATACAAGCGGCCACAGTGGGGGGATGGAAGCTACGGGACTTTGCTCCTAGAATAGGGACGCTTGTCTGCATTTGTTTCTGTAGGTATCTGTTTCTAGTCCAAAAATATCAGAATAAAGAATATTTTTGCTCTTTGGTCTCATTTGTGCAGTGCATTCACATTACCAAAGATGGAATACTTTGGAGAAGATACAAGAGGAGGATTTCAACTTAATCAGGTCCAGGCACAAGTTTTGGACCCATAGCTAAAGCAGCCGAGCATCAGCAACATCTGTCTCCTTTCTGCGCTCAGATCCAAGAGGAGTGAAGAGCTATCCAGACATTTTTATGACAAAAAAAAAAAAAAAAAAAAAAAGCAGATTCAAGAAGGACCTTGCCTTTTCTCATCTTTATTTTTCCTCCTCCCAGAGACAGAGCAGTAACCTTTATTAACACTAAGTCTGAGAAACGTGCCTATGCTCAGACAAGAACACAGAAGGGAGTTTGTTCCTGTGGGGTTTTCCTTCGGGCAGGAATGTGTAATCAGTGTGTGCAATGGATTACGCCCATCATCGCCGTTGGTTGGGATAGCTCCGGGAGCGAGGATCTGGGTCGCGTCAGGATTCCCAGAAATGAGAGCAGGAAGCCGCCCGCGTCCCGCCAAGCTCCTGCAACGAGCTCTTTGGAGAGGAGCCTGGAGAGAAAGTGGGTCATGAAGGTGGGGAGCAGCCCATGAGCCAAGGTGCAGCCTTGGCCATTGACCACCCACCTCTGGGTGGCCACCTCACCTCTGAGCTGAGGTCCCAAAGCTGGGGGACCCTCTGGATCCTGCTGTTGCAACCGCTTTTCTCGCTGTGAAACGTTGCACCATCCGGGCTCACCTGGTTCGGGAGCAGGGGGTTCTCACCTGGACACTTTGCAAGCCGGGTCCTGGGGTGACAGTAGGGAATGGCTGATGCTCCACGGGACTTGTGCTGTTCCGTGGGACTGTGACCATCTGCTGGCTCAGATCCGCAGTGCTTACGAAATCAGAGAAAAGCTGAAACCAGAAGGGAGCTCTGAGGGCCTCTAATCCAGCCACGTGTCCAAGCAGACTAACTCCAAACCTGCATTGGGCTGCTCTGGGTCTCATCCGGCTGCCTTTGGAATATCCCCGAGAGCAGAGATCCCCCTGCTCTCCCTGGGCACGTGTGGGCTGGTGTGACCCGAACTCGTGACGTGCTCGGCGGGTAGATGCGAATGGGAGAGCAGCAAACAGAGTCCGTCCCATGGTCTGCTGTGGGGCTGGAGGGCACAATGTGCCCAGGACAGGGAGCGGGGCCTGCGGAGGTGTCTGACCACGCAGGACCTCTGATCAAAAACCTGCGGCACCAAGGAGGAGCAGGGCGGACAACTTCCCAGGTGCTCCGGGTGGGCAACAGGAAAACTGCCTCCTTGGCGCTCCTGTGTGCCTGGCTCTCTGGACAAGCGGCCGCTGCCGCCCTGCTCTGCTGGGTGCCGAGGGGCCGTGAGGGAGGAATCTCTCAGCAAAGGGGTGTTTCTCAGCACCCCTCGCTGGCAGCGGTGCCAGGAAGAAGCTTTCCCTGCCTCATCAGCTGCTGGCAGCACATCCAAGCAGGACGTTAAGCGACATGGTTTGATCCAAGGCTGATTTTTGCTTTTTTTTTGTTTTCTTTTTGTTTTCCCAAGGTCGGCGGCGGCGTGGCGCGCAGCGCCGCGCACGGCGGCGTTTCCAGCGGTGACGAGCGCCGTTTCCACAGCAGCGTGAGTCAGCGTCTCCGCGCCGCCGTGCCCGGCAGCGCCCGGGGCTCGGCGCAGGGTACGTATGGTGCACGGATAGGCAGTGACGTGCGGGTGTCGGGAAGGTCGGAGGCGCTCTGGGAACGGGAAATGCGGCCAAGAAAGCATCGAGTCAGCTTTCCTGCCAGCTCCGTCCCGGCATCCCTTGTGCAGAATGGCAAGAAATGATGCCTGCAAAAGCGTCACATGAAACTGAAGGGCATAGACTACATTTAGTGTTAAGCTCTCCTCTGAGCACCCTGCAGGCATATCTGCAACATCTGCTTATCTTCTTGCCATGCACTGCCTGCCCCTATGTGAGCATGCGAGTTGCTGTGCCTGGGCACGCGCTGGGTCAAAGCACGAGGCAAGGGCACCGTGCAGCCATCGCCATGGCCCTCCCCATGACGTAGAAGCGGGGCCTCTCTTTGACTCAAAAGCAGTAGTGAGGGCTGTGGGGGAGCAGTGAGCACCCCTGTGTGCACTCCGTGCACAGCCCCAGCCCTGCACCCGCAGCAGCAGAGGATGCCGACTGCCCTCTGCTTTCTGCAGCAGTCAGAGGGCACAGCGCTCGCTGGTGCTCATGTACCTTGTGTTGACATAGTGCAACCCAGCGCCGACGTGCGAGCAGCCCCACGCAGGGTCAGAGCACGCGGGTCAGCAGAAGGCCTGGCCAGAAGCTCCTCGTCATGGACCACCAGCTCTGCGTGCAGGGAGCACCGCGGGCAGCCCCAGGGCCATGCAGGGTCTGATCCCCACGTGGATCCGTCTTCCTCCACCAGCAGCAAGCGCAGACGCCCTTCCTGCTGCTGGCCAACGCGTAGGCACCTTCAAGTCACTGGCTCCTGGCCCCACCTGGGCAATAAACAAAGCTGGCAGGATACGGGGAAGTGCCTGGGTGTTTGTTCAATGCTCTCTTTCGAGAGCTGTGTAAACATCAGCGTGCTCAGAACAGGCTGTGTTTGAAACACGATGCTCCTCTGGGAAAGGTCACACATTTCCTAGGTGCATCGCAGCATTACCGGCAGGAACCAGCCCAAATAAAGGGCAACGTGTGAAAAACCTGCCCCTCCACGTCATTGCTGTCCCCGTGTCCCACTGCCACAGCCGGCAGCTCCGACGTGACTCACGCGTTTTGGCCAGGCTGCCCGGCGCTGGGAGGAGACTCCGGGGCTGGCAGGCCCTCTCCTGCAAGGCGTGAGTCAGCACCGCTCGCTTCCCAGGGAATGTCACCCCCGGATTAGTGGTTTTCCTCATCCTGCTCACGCCCGATGTCCCAACCCGGCTGCTCTGTGCGCCGCATTCCCACAGCCAGCGAGCCCTGTCCTGGGCCGAGGCAGGTCCCCTCCGTAGCACCACGAATGTGCCATCTGCCTCACCATGCACCTGTGAAAAACTGTGCTTGCAGTGAGGGGTTTCTAATGTGTTTATTGCCTGAGAAATGTCACAGCTCAGGATTTCTCTGCCATAGCGTTTCCGTACTGAGCAGGATGTTGCTTCCCTAATACACGCTGAGGCGGAGGTCTGGCCCTTCGGAGTGCGAGTTTTGCCCTCCGTGGTTGCCCACATTTCACAGCAAACCTCCTTTTCTGCCCTGCAGCCCAGTGCAAGGCCGCGTCTGCCGGCTCTTCATGTGCAAGAAGCTTGGAGCAGCCCTGGAGCGGACGTGGTTGTCCTCGGTTCTGCTGATGCTGCAGAGCTCGGTCCAACACGGACCACGAGGTGAGCATGGGTGTGATTGGGGCTTCCTTGCCCTGAATCCCTGCTCCTGGGGGCTCTGCTTCCCGTCTCCTCGAGTTCTTCTGGCGGGATCAGCCTGCCGTTCGAAGCCCTTTGCCCCTGTGGTCCTCCCTGATGGATGAGGTGCCTACGTGACCCAAGAAGCCCCCGCTAGAAGCAGCGCGGCAGAATTCCCGGGGCCTGGCGGGCGCGTGTCCAGGCTGCTGCAGCGCACGGATGTCTGCGCTGCGGCTGCCAGCCCGGGGCATGCACCCAACGTGAGCGTGCCATGATGCAGAGCTGCATCTCGTGCAGCTTTCCGAGGTGTTGCACGTGCTGTGGCGGAGCCCTGTCCATGCACAGGCAGGTTCTGGCATCTCCTGCTCACGGAAGAGGTCTGCTCTCCACTCTGGCAATCTGCTGCCGGTATCAGCCCAAGAAAGAGAGCGCGGCCGCCAAGTTCTGTTCTCTTATCCCTCCATCCAGTCTTCTCCGGGCCAGCCTGCTCCTTGCATTCTTGATTTGTAGCCATCTCCCAAGCAGAACATGATGCTACATAAGCTATCTTGGTGTGAGAGACGTGCAGACACACATCAGCCTCCCCACTTGCTTCATGCTTTTTTTGGGCTCGTTCTTGAGCCCAAAGACTGGTCTCCCCCTGAGGTCGTTCAAACACCATCTGAATCCTTAACTTCAGAACTCACAGGCTCCTCATGGATTGCACCGCATCCTGCAACAATATATAGGCCCAGGAAGCTATAATGAGAGGTATAGCATGGTGATCCTAGAGAGCAGCCACACTGAAGTGAT